AATGGATATCCTAAAACTAAGTGCTCCTCAGCTAAGACAATGCAAAAAAGCGTGTCAGCCTTTTAAAAAGAAATAACATATAATTAACCATGGCACATGGCGATCTGAAATAAAATTTAAATAAAAGTATCCTCAAATGTTGTGTCTTATAAAAAAGTAAAAAATAGGCTCCAATGACCTGAGGCTAAAACTGAGATCACAGAAGAATAGGCAATTACAATATGCATTACATGTTTCTGCTATCCGGTATTGGCCGTGTTCTGCACTTTTGAAGGTCCAGAAGTGTAAAGGAATCGGCATAGGATGCAGTGAAAGATATGAAGCACAAATTTAACTTGCTTAAATAGTCGACCTATGAATCCTCAACCCCAAAATCAATTATCGTGTGGCTAATTTAGGGTTATGAGACCGACCAGATGCTGTGTTTTTTGTTGCAATTAAACCCTGCTCAATCCACCAGAATATTGTTCACTTAGTTTGTATTCTCAAAATCCGTTTAAAGGCATTCGCGTATTCTCGATTGTAGAAAGCATAGATGAAAGGATTGAACACACTGTTCACATAGCCCAACCAAGTTACAAACGTCACGAACCAGCTAGGATACCTGCACAAACAGAATGGCTCAAAGATATAACTGATGAAAAAGGGCAACCAAAACACAGAGAAACATCCTACCACGCAGCCCAATGTCTTGGCTGTTTTGCGTTCTCGTTTAAAAGCAGCTCGTTCTCGAAGTCTCTTATCGCTAGAAATCCTTGCAGTAGGAACGTTACGCAACGGTCTTTTATGAGAAGATTCCATCATTCCTGAGGAGAACTTGGGCACAGTTGTGCTAGAGGCTTTTTCCGATTGTCCGACGACCTGAGTAAACTGTGTTTCAACTGGCCGGCAAAGGTATTCTGGAATTGTCTCCTGAGGCTGATCGCATGCAAGCAGACAAGGCCAAAACACGCAATCACAAGTCGAGCTTTGACTCAGCCAGATGCCATTCGAAAGCAAGGGACGAATACATGGCATGCTAGAAAAGTGTTTATTCATGTGGGGCTTGGCCTGGCAGGACTCAGATATATCACTCTTATTGTGTGCAAAATAGGAATATTGAGTGTATGAAGTACTTGAATTTTGAGGTGAGTCCAAGCTAAAGTTCCTCGTTTTCACATGCAATAGTAAACAGGGCTTCTTCGAGGTGACTGGGATCTCTTGTCGCTGAAGCATGGGATGGCTATTGCTCAGGGCGTGGTTTTCCGTCATCAGTTCTAATAAAGCCATGCAGCTTTTGGTACGCCTTGCAAGAGAGGATGGCCTAAGCTCCTGGCACTCCCAGTCGAGCATGCTGTAGCGGTTGCTCTCAGAGGTGAGCAGAGCAGCTGAAGTTGGCTGTTTTAGGTCCATTTTCTTGCTAGTAGAGTAAGTAAGTACCGCAGCTGCTGTAACTTTTCTCGCTAACAAAGGTGAATCTTTTTCCGAGTTGCGTAGACTTGCTTGTTCTGAGGGACGAATGTTCGTATGCGTTGATGGCGAAGGGCTTAAGTGAGATCTGATGGAAGCGAATACTCCGAACAAAGTAAAACTCTGAATAGCATCTCGGCGTCCCATGATACCCTTCTTATGTCTGGTGGATCCAGCTCCGAAACTGGTGCTACCATTAAAGCTGCCGGCACCGAAGGTCTCCAACCGACGACAGGCCACAACAAAAATGCGTGTATATACGAAGAGCATTACAAAGAAAGGGCCAAAGAAGGATCCAATCGACGAGTAGACGCGAAAGCCGACTTCCACACTGATGGAGCATCTGCCTCGCCCGATGTTGTGTTGCACGCCTCCAAATAACCCGGGCAGCACGATTAGCCCTGACAAAAGCCAAGCTGCGATAATCATCAGGCTTGCTGTACGCCGGGTTCGACGAGTTGTGTAGTCCAGAGGCCTGGTCACAGCCATGTAGCGATCTAGGGAGATACAGCAAAGATTAAGGATAGAGGCGGTGCATAGGAGGATGTCTGCCGACAGCCAGAGGTAGCAGGTTGTATGATTGTCAAACGGCCATCGGTCACTCATGAAGTAGGCAATTGAAGCCGGTAGTACAAGAATGGCAACGAGAAGATCAGCAATAGCCAGTGAAACGACGTAAAGATTCGTGACCGTCTGAAGACGCCGAGTAGTAGCAACTGCAGCGACGACCAAGCAGTTTCCGACGAAGATGGCTACACCCATACAGGCCATAAGGAAGCTCCAGAGTTTTATTTTAGTAGAATTTGAAGCGTCATCATCAGCAACCGTTGGAGAATTGGTAGTTGCTTCGCTGACAAAGTAGGCGAGTGTTGCTCCAGACACCGGCAGTGAGCTGATTCTGCTGACCCTTCCGGTAGTTAGTAGGCAAATGAACAACGTCATGACGTCAGAAAGCCGATTTGATAGCTGAAACTTGAGGACACATGAAATGAGCAATTCTAAATTCACATGATAGGTCAATGTTGAACAATACCAGTGTGGCAGAACTTCCGCAACTTTCAAATGAGCAAACAACTCTAGACGGACAACTTTATCTCTGGACACATGAAGATCAAATGAGATTTGGTTGCCTCAAAGGCCCTTCAGTAATTTCCAGTCCGAAGGTTCTCTTTGTTATATCTGGTGTGGGCTAGTGGTGCCGATTAATAATTGAAAGAGAAAGCGAGCAAGAGAAACACAGTTGAATAGGCAAGACGTGAATTTCGGTTGAAGCAGTCTACACAGATCTAAGCGCTATGTAGTCACTAGTACCGTGTGGCTCCACCTTTCCCCCCTCAAGCCACTTTACAAAACAAGTCTACGAATATTTAATCCATTGTCGAACACAGCTGGTGTTGCTCACTATTGTGGACAGGCAGCCTAATGCATAGTTCCCGGCTGAATTCGGTTGTGACGGTTGTGGTAGGCGTATAGCATCCAGTTGCCACAAGATTCCTCATATATTTTACCCTGGAGTGAGTCTAGGCAATTTGCTTGCCAAATGACAGGATTCGTTGCATTTTCCATATATTCATATGAGTATAAATTATCTTAACAACACTGTTTAAACTATAGATCCAATACCTTAATACCTGTAGACAAGGCTGATATATAGAAAATTTAGCCTTAAATCAGCCTGAAGAGCAAGCACCAACCTTCTGAAAATGACTCGGATTTCGGCAATGCGAATAAGGACTCCTGTCTTCAACTTGGCTTATGCGTCAATGCAGGGCGTTGAAAGGGGACCACACCAGCGGGGGTTTAGCTGTGCTATTAGGACAGCCTAGACTCTAATTGCCAGTTTGCATTCAGGTTCATTTGTGGTGTATCGTGTTTCACAGATGACGGGCTGGAGTAGGTCTGCACAACAGATGAACAGTGATCATTGCTATCCGTAATGCACAAAGTTGGGGCTGAGGGGCTGACATCCATGCCACCGGTACACAGTGTGGGTTGCCTAGACTCTGTAGCATAAATCACATCATTTTTCAAATGAGTGCAAGCAATTAACTTATCTATGTGCCGTCCTTTCAAGCTACTATGCCGACCCAACAGGCTTTACTTTCATTTGCTCTTGTTTTTGTCCAATTAGGGGACAGCATTGATCCAATGACAACAACTTTGCGCCCTGCTACCTGTCATTTTGCCCTCCACATTCTCATTTACGAATACAGTAATTTGAGTTGGTTAGATGCATTTAGCAATGATCGGATGAACCATCAAATCCATTTTTGGTTTGACTAAAATCATGAAAAAGATTTTTATGGATATCTTAACTGTATTGTTGAAGACATCTTCCAAGAATCCGACTTGTCAGGTAGATAATTTGCCAAAATATAAATTTTCATAATGATATAATGACTTTGTTTAATATATGGGGCACATTATAAAAAAGTGCCAGGCTGAAGTCCAGCTGCAGGCAATCGTCAAGTATGCCAAATTAATAGTTATACCTCGTTATACTACTAGAAATTATGGAGCAATTTCTAGCCAAGCCAAACATCATACACATTAAACATTGGCAGTGATATAGTATTTATATTTGGCCTACAATTTGGGCGTAGTTCGCACAGAAAGTTATCTAATCGCATGCAAACAGCAGAGGCTTAATTTCAATTCGCATCCAGAAATCACTTCCTGATGTGGCAAGCGAAGCTAAGCTTCTATTTTCAGTTTGCCTCTGCTGACAGGCAGACTGTCACATGTGCGTTTATGTAAGCTATTCGATGGAAGTTACTATTGAACAGCTGATTCTGATGTTCTAAACATATGGGTAAAGACAAATCCTCATAAATTTATCTTAGCAAATATTGCTATTTTTCCATTGAATATTTAATTCATTGAAAAATATAATTAACTGGACTTTACACTAAACTTTTTGGCAGAAAATAAGAAATTTTTGATACCTATGAATTTCTCAAGTGTTTCCTTTTCCTTAACCTTTTCCTAGCCATTCATCCAGTTGAGATATAATCCCAACTACTAAGATGAATTATGCCACAGTTATAATTTTTTCGAGTGGACGTTTTAATTTAGCCTCGCGTAATATTTTACGCTATTTAATCTATATTTATTGGATTTTAGCATGTCCATTGTTGGTAGTCTAAAGAACCACAATGGCTATCAATGGGCGGTCCTTGATGCAAGTATGTCTTTTTTGATCTACCATATTTATAACCAATTTATTTATCCTCCATTTGAGCCCGTCTTTGTGTCAAAGCAGTACTCAAACTATCCGCCATAAAGCATTGAAATTTCATTTCATAAACCTTTTTTGAAAATTTGAACTTTCTTCTATAATCTTAACTAATCTGTATAATGCATTAAGGCAATAATTCTATAATTTCAAACCCCTGGTTGTTTAACTAAGTTTATGCCACAAAATGCTCAAAATGAACTCACTAAGATTATATGAATGATCCACATTTTTTCAAAAGTGATTTAATTCCATATAATGATTTCGACAAGTTTATCACTGCATAACAATGCATTCCTAAGTATCACTAATATAGCCTAATTTGTATCTAAAAATTTGTTGCGTAAAATATCTATTTGACAGCTTATTATTAATAAATCTAAATTTAGCTAATGTAAAACACACTGGCAACAAGAGTGAGTCACACATTATTTCTACTTTATACATATCTGAAAAAATAATTTAAATAGGGCAGTTATGAAAGGAGGAATTTTATAGTGAAAATTTAAAGTGTAATCAAATTCTGTTGGGAAAAGTTTTTATATTTTAGTTATTTAATCAAAATCCCTTTCTGTGATTTATCAACAGAGAACCGTTTCTTGCCAAGCTTTGCTAGATGTACTTTATGAATAGAATGGCTTATAGAGTTAAAAGTGTCGGGCTTTATTTTAGTCTTTAAAAAAGACTTACTAAAATAGTAGTATCTGTTAAGCTGAATAAATGCGTCATGAAATTAGCATGTCTATTCTTACCAGGAAGCTGAAATGCCATCCGTTTTTTATGCTGAAGTGAGATAAAATACGATTATTTCTAATCAGTTTATATGAATTTTATCCCTAATGCCGTAATCCTTCTTAGTAATGGCTTTTCAAAAGAATTTAGATAACTTCACTTCAAAGTAGAATGAGCTGTACTGTTTAAGGATTAAAGAAGTGTTGAACCAGCAACGGTAAATTCACGGACAATAAAACGTCATCCTAGCTTTTCATCCTACCTTATATAACCGTTGGAAGGATTATACGCTAGTGTTGAGTAGCTCCAACAAGTTACATTTTTAAAGCTTTTCATGGGTCATTTAACTCTTGACTTAAAGCCTTAACCTTGCACATATATCCATAAATAATTTATTACATTGGCCATCTTTTACCTCTTCCTCCTTTTTTAAATGATATATTCCAAAGCAACATTTTAAAATTAACTCGAATTAATTAAACTTTGAATGGCCGCATCTTAGACTTAGTTTGCTTTTGCTCATTACATTTATTTTAATCATGTAGTTTGACAATTTTCTCCTCTATCATATGAAAGATAAGTAAGTTCAATAACATCTGGTTTCACTCCGTCTACTAAGAAGTTTTCTAAGCACCTTACTCAGGAACGCAGAGGCTAATGCTATCTGAAGGTGTAAAAATAACTTCCCAAAATAAATAAAGTTAGCTTTTTCTTTAAAA